GTTATGTATCCCATCGTTTAGCTGCTAAGACAGTTTTAAATTTGTCAAACGTTGAAGAGCCGCCAATTATTTTTTTTAATATAGTGATCAAACAAAATTTAGGATCACAATTTCTTGAGAGTTATCTTTGAACTGTCTAAATCTTTAAGCTATTTGTAGCTTTTGCACATTACAAAATAGAGCTGAAAACCTGGAGGAGAGAGTTGTTAATTTAAAATTTAAAATTGTTGATTTGTTATTCTTCAAATCTTTGCAAATCAGATGTGAAGAAGTAAGTGCGTAAAACATTTGCAAAAACTGTTAAATTTGTAGATGAGATCTCAACAAGTTATTTTCTCATAACTGTCTCCAGCTTTTTTTTTTTTGAAGAGAAAAAGATGGTTTAGAAGGGAATGAAGCGCAGAAAAGTATCGCATTTATTGTCAAGAAATATTAATAAACTCTGGTAAAGTATTTCGTTTAAAAAGCCTTCTTCACTGTATACCATGCAACAGTAATAAGCGGACATATGGAACCCACTGAGAATGTTATTTAGTTGTAGTCCTCAGATAACTATTCAAAACAATTAAACCTTCAAAAAAAAAAAAAAAAAAAAAACTAGCTCTTCTGGGCGCAGACTTTGTTCTCAACGACTAACGACACTTCAGGGTGACAATTGGTATCTTTGATCTAAATACCTGCATGACTATGTTATACTTTGGGCTAAAAAGATTTTTGAAAGACAGCTGCACAGTGTAATAAATTGCCTCATCTTCTATGTGTGAAATTTATTTCTTCATTTGCCTCGCTGATCTGTTTCCGCCATCAAAATTATACAAGATCAGTATCTTTTCTGCTAATAGCCTCAAACAGTTGTACAGATGAATTGTGACTTGATGTATCAATCACCGTCAAAAATCTTTCTGACGATTAAAATTTTCCGTTATTATTTTATAGTATTTTTGAATAATACAGCAATGCTATGATAACTTTGGAAAGTACTATTGACAAGCCTACTTGTTTTCGCATTTATATAACTGTGCTTCCTCTTTTCATCTTCATTTTCGGATTTACGACGCATCAAGGGGTTCTTTTTTGTGACAAGGTTTTATTATGCTAAATGTATAGTGTATGTTTTACTGTATGAGTATTACAACAAAAACTAATTGGAGATACTTTTTTGAACTGGAAATCCTACGCGCTTTTACTTTTTTTTTTTTTTTTGTGTCTTGAAGTCACTTTCGACACCGACAGGTAGTGACCATGGAAGACCAGTTTACAGAGAAGATTAATCAGATGATGCGGATTTTCTTTACAGTGATCAAAATGAGAAATACACTGGGTAACAACAACAACATCAACTAGTATTCCATAATTGCGAATTCCCTATTCTGCAATTATCCAGTGTTTCCTTCTTTTTTTTCCGTAGTTTTTAAAAAATAGATGTCTGCATATGTGTTACGTGCGAAACGAATTAGTCGTTTTAGAAGCGATCAAAGTTTTCTGCAGTTTTCATTTTTAGAGATTTCTGATAGACCAATTTATGCTAACCGCAGTGTCTTTCCATTGAACTATAACGTAGAAACTTTTTTGTCGTATTTTTAGGCTTGATTTAGCTTTCAAAAATCATCGCCTCATTCTTATTCATCCGGTTATTGTCGTCACAGTGCCGTGCTGGAAAAACTTAATTTAAAATAAGTTCAACATTGTCAGCTAAACCCTTAAACAGTTTACACTTTTAGATGGTATTTTGGTAAGTTAAGACGTACAGAAGCAGAAAAATTACTCTTACTCAGCGCTAACGAGCATGGTTCATTTCTGGTTCGCGATTCTGAAAGTCGACAAAACGATTTTTCATTATCAGGTCCTTTTGTCTTTGCATGATGATGAAGATAGCAATAACAATGAAAATAACAGTAATATAAAAGTAATAACAATAATTGTAATAGTAATAGTAACAATAATAATAGTAATAATAATAATAATAATAATAATAATAACAATAATAATAATAATAATAATAATAATAATAATAATAATATAATAATAATAATAATAATAATAATAATAATAATAATATAATAATAATAATAATAATAATAATAATAATAATAATAAGACAATAATAATAAATTAATTTTGAGATTTTTCGGAATCAGCCAAGAATAAGAATAATAAGGATAAGAATAATAATATGGAGGAGAAGAAAAAGGAGAATAGAAGTAATAATAACTGCATACTTGGCTTTTGCGAAGAAACCAGTAGTACCAAAATTACAGTGACTAGAATGAATTTTCACAGAAGTTGTCAGAAAGTGTACTGTGAATTAGTGGAGTTTTTAGTTCGCGATGGCGATACCGTTAAGCACTATCGCATTCGTCAGCTGGATCAGGGAGGATTTTACATAGCCAGAAGAAAACCATTTGCAACCTTAGCTGAAATGATTGCTTATTATGCGCGAGAACCAGAGGGTTTATGCGTAACATTACGGCGACCATGTATAAAGGTTGATATACCCCAGACAAGGACATTCACGTATGACGATCAGTGGGAAATAGATCGTCGGTCAATTCGCCTAATTCGACAGATTGGTGCTGGGCAGTTCGGTGAAGTATGTTGGGCTTTAAAATTTCGTAGAAAATATCAGCTGAGTATTCATGCATATTATTTGATCAATAAAAAAATGCGACAATTTGGTGTGAAAATTTTTTTTTTTTTTTT